CGTGGAATAAACTTTGGATTTAGTTTCAGTTTGTACGACTATCAACCTTGTGCTATCATGCAACGGTTTAGTTGCTAGCCCCTTTGGGTAGACCAATCCAGAAGCAGCAGGTGGAAGAGTTAGAACAATGTAGAATTAATATGAACAGAGATTGAGCAGAGGCACAATCATCACTGGCTACGACATTCAGTCACATCACTTGGTGCTCGGTCAAGGTTTTTATATTCTCATGCTGGTGGGTCGTATTCTGACCATCCATCCATCTTTTAAGTAATACTAGGTTCCGTAAATACGACACGTCGAGGAGTCCCATCCGGAGTCACGCGAAGCACGTGTTTCAACCATTATTCGCTTCACGACGTGACCGCATTTACCTACATCTGTGCATTCGGCCTCGGCATTGCTTGTCCAGTTGTCTTTTGGACCGACTAGTACAACGCTGTGTGGGCAGCGATTTTTGAACCACGATGGCGCCTGTGTTTATTATTGTTTCATAACGACCCGGGAAACCAGAGGCTATCCAAGTGATTTTATTTTCGAATGTTGATTAAATCTTCGTCAATCTGCCCAAGAAACAAAAAGCAAATCTGATTCAATACTTAACTAACAGGATGGGTAGAATTCACATAGAAAATACGATAGAAAGAAATTGGGTTTCGGTGCGACGTGGTCCTACATTACTATAGTTAACTTGAACGCTCTGTGTTAAGTGTCCTACGTGTCATCAATCGGACACAAGTGAAGAGATTCGGAAGGAACTGAAAAATAAGAAGACCAGCCGCATAAAAAGGATTCTCCACACGACGGAAATAAGCGTCGCATTCGAAATCAGAGTACTCTCCGTGTTTTTGCCTGAAAGAGAACTCCTTTGCTGTGTTTATATGCGTTGTATAGTTTTCGGTTCGGGTGAACGGCAAGGGGACCTAATGTAACAGTGATTGGGTCGTTTCACCCCACCCCCGGTTATCAAGTAAAATAATCCCTGTGTATATGTACAACAGGAAATTCTCTTCTCCACCTCGGCTTTGTTCGCCACATTTATTGATACACATCTTCATTATTGTGAGAGTGAAAGTCAAGATCCAGGACCACAGCCAGATTGATGAACAACAACAATCGAAAGGACTTGCGTCAAAACCTCTCAAGAAGCGTCGTACGGGCTGGCTGCAGGGAATCATTAACGCAATCAGCACTAACTCAAATCAAGTCAACTCTAAGTAAGTTTTATGCACCCGAAGGGTGAATTTTCAGCGAGCGGGCAGGGAACGAACAGAGAACTTTAGAAGTCAGAATTGCGTTTCAAGGATGTGGGATCCGAGTAATTGGACACAAGTCACCAATAAGCCGGAGGTTTTAAATAGCACTAGGCTTATCTATCTATCTAGCCAAGTGCCCCAGTTGTGAAAATCTCAGAAAATCACCTGTGTTTGATGTGGGTAACCTAGCAATATCGCATCCATAAAAATGACTATGAAATAACTTCCTTATCACCAGTGCGTTTGTACCATACAGTTCGGATCCAAACAAGTAGGACCTGATGATCAGGGTGTATTTAAACAGAGAGAACTATAAATCTATGGTACTGTATTACAATTATCCACTGGGGTGTTTTTATACTGTGCATCAGGGGTGCCCTTGGGCAATGGAAAAACAATGCCCTTGGTTTTTAAATCACACAGATATTGATTGGATCGAAGCGTGAGAGCACATGCATGTACGAGAGCGGGAGAGCTGTGAGAACCCATGAA